AGCATAATACACCTAAAAACAGCAGGAAAAAAACTATGACTGTATGTTCACACCAATTAAATATTGAAAAGTTTAAAATATAAGCCACTCCCGCTCACGTCTATAATAAATATTCTTACCTGAAATAACTAAAACCTGAAGCGTGTCACGGTTTCCTCGAATGTGTGTTTTCTTTAAACTAATTTATTAATAGTCGAAGACAGATCAATACTGAATAATCTTTCCTGCGATATACTGAAACCTTAAGCCCTGCGGCTCAAACGTGTGTTTGGTTATAACTAATTTTTTAATAGTCAATGAGGTATAATAACATTCTAGCACAGGAGAATTTTTAAAAAATTAACATTTTCTTTGCTAAGTTGTGACCATTTAAATCCAGTTTCTAAATCACTTAGGCTCAATTTATGTGTTACTTAATACAGTGCATTTTTACCGTGTTATGCTATTTGTTAGAGCTTAAAAGGTTCCTTGTGAGGATTTCATGTTTTTCAATTTATGATCAACGATGAATTGTGTTTGGATTTCAATCTAATGCAACAGAACAGCCTTGAATAAAATTACTAATGTACATTATTATAGCCATACAGACAATATGTGATTTTACAGCACGTTTATTTTTTTTATTATTGTTATGCTTGTATTTGAAGTGGTACAGATTATTGTATTGGAATAAAAATTCAAATTTTCAGAGAAGGGTGTCTACATTTTTTGACGTGTTATGTAGTTCTTCCTATAACTTTTTTAAACAGTTCCAATACTTGATTTTCGATAATTACAGTCGTTCATTTTTAAACCCGTCCCCTTCCGTTTTTTTTTCAATATTAAAATACAAACCCAAGCACAGTTCGTTATACGGAATCCAGGCTACGTTAACTTGTACACGTTTAAGCTCTTCCTACTTTTCCTAGTAGTCATTACAAATACAGAATTTTGGATTTTTTTAAATTAATTTTATTAGCTTTCGGATTTGAACAGTTTGCCCAATTTTGATATTTTCCTACGATTGGGGCCCAGTTAATAACATTACTACCATATTTCAATCCAAAGTTTGTTCAGATTGGTGTTGTGGCAACATTATACTCATTTATTTTAGGCTATATAATCATTTGGGAGGTCCCATTAGCCAAGTACATGCAGCAGTTATGCATGTTCTCTAGACCAAATAATCCAAAGCAAGTCTTGTGTGAACAAATTTTTCAATCAAGAGTGTTTGACTGTCCTTCGGTGAATTTTATACGCATCATTTTGTAGAACTGTGGCCGACGATCTGGGTTATACTGGTCTTGTTAGGTAACTTATATATATTTCAACATTTACGTAAAACATTCAATGATGTTCTTTATATGAAATGTATTGAATAATCACGCAGTGTGGATTTTTGGACTGTTCTCAAGTTTGATAGCCATTAACTTCTAATTTTCAGTCACAGAAGTTTTGGACGTTTAAATTTTTATGTTTCACTTACTGAACCCGTGTTTTTCATATTAATGTTTAATATAGCAAAATAGGCGCACTAAAATAAAATGAATTGCAATTAGCAACACAAAGATGTAAACATAAGTTCTATATATACTATGAGAAATGTTCTTACAATATTTATGTTCATCGGTCAGTTGATATCTATCGCGTCAACTGTATCCACCCAGTAGATTTTGTTTCGGTATCTCGCGTGAAATTAGAATTTTACTGTCGATATCACTTTGTCTTCAGCTACGAAGCCTGGGCTCTCAAGTTTTGCGAGTCAACTTGCGGCGATCCCGGTAAACAACAAAACTAATTGGTTGGCAATATCGATATTGACAAAATGCGATGATAGATGTTTTTGTTTAAATACTGATCCCAAGTTGTGATTGTTATAATAAGCGGAAAAGCCTAAACATACTACTCTTGCTTTTGTTGAGTTGCTTTGTGTCTTTATTAGAGAATGCCCGTTTACTGTTTAAGGAAGTATTTAGTATTCAAAAGCTGAACAAGTTTTTGCATGTATTTATATACCCTGAACAATTTAACTACCTTTTGAGTGCTTAAATTTGAGTTATAATAAAGTATATATTCATTATTTTTAGTATCATAATTCAAATTGTATGTGCCAGGTAGTCGGAGAAACGTGAGCATACAACTGCGTTTGATAAGTTTATATCTTATTGAGTCTGATTCACTTGAATAATAAACAAGACCATTGGTCTACTACAGAGTAACATGGTTCATCTATTGTTTGTTAGCATCTAATATTCGCATCAATGTAGAACATAGGCATCTTTTGACCTTATCAAAGTTTGCTGTATTTTCATAAGAAATCAAAAAAACATTTATTCCCACGTTGTAACTAAAGTCGACTGGGCGCTTTGTAAGCCAACTTTCGTATTGTTGGATCGGTATGCAAACATACATTATTTCACTACCCTTCGGTAGTGCGTTCCGATTAGAAGATATCGAATTTACTTCTTTTGTTACTCTAGTAATTAAATCCGCCATGAATATGTGGCTATTCTTGATTTCACGCCTGCTTTGTAAAAATTCCGCTTTTCTACCGTCTAGCTGAAAAAACATTGATTGTTTATATATTTACAGTTGTGCGTTAACAGGGAAGTAGCCAAAGTAGCATAGGGAATTGAATTGTAATGGCTGGCATATTAAATAATATTTATAACCTGAGAGATTTTAAGAGAATTGTGATCGTTCGAGAATAATATCAGTTATATTACTGATAGATGGACCATTCTAGAAGTGTGAATATGTTTGTTTTTTTAATTTGAACAGTTTTCATTAAAAAAAAAAATTGTTATATTTTGAACAAATTCATGCAATTCCTTTTTCTTCATCTATTTTACGCTTGAGAGCCAATTCTGAATTCGAGGAATCCGGATATCTCTTGCGCAAGCGAATTAATTTAAATATGCACTCCTGCATAGGCTCACTATTTTGCTATGACGCAATTTTGCGTTTATTGGATTTCACTATTATTTTCTTGTGTACAAAAATCTATTGTGTATATTATTTTATACAAACTTACTGAAGCAAACGTTAAAAACGAGAAACTCAGATGTGGAAGTGAGTCTTATTTTCTACATCAACGTAATATTTAAAGCATATAGAACCTCGGTATGTTTATGCTTATTGGAACTGATTGGAACGTGACATAAAATTTCGCGCTCAATTAGTTTGTTACTGCTGCTGCGGAATTTCATACTTAAATAAACGAGAGTTGCGCTACACGCTACATGTTATATAGAATAAACCGAGAGAAAGGCTAAATGTTGAATGATTACAAGTAAAAATGTCTCAGTTTCTTTGATAGGTAGATTAGATAGTGAGATTAGGCAGCGTTGATAATTTTTCTTGCGACATTTACCTATCTACAGCTTTAAGCTTTTTTCAGTTTGAATATTTAGTTAAGAATATGAGTGAACAAACATCACGTCACGAAACAATTAATTTACATCCTAAACACAGAGCTGTTTTTGTTCACGGATATGGAGGGTCATCTAAAAATGCTGAAGATCAAGCACATACCCTCAGCACTTACGTTTATAGCCATTCGCCTCTTGATTCTTCGAAGATAACCGTCGTGCTTAATAAAGCAAAGAGTTTCCATGATTCTTGCGCTAAAGCAACCAATTGTCTATTAGGTTGTATATGGGAAATTGGAAGTCGCGTGCAACGTTCAGGTAGAAACTGTGATGAATGTGTTGAGCTGGTGGTGTTTTGCCACAGTAATGGTGCAAAACCGGTTCAGAAGGCTCTAGCTCCTGACTTTCTTACAGAATTATGCAATGTTTTGGATATACCCCAAATGGAAATAGCCAGCTTTATGGGAAGGATTAGAAAGAAAATTGTTGTTATTTCGTTTGGAGGAGTGTGTTACATGTCAGACGACTACGCTAAGGTATGTTAAACCTGCAAACGAATTTGTCATTTAATATTTATTTATGTTTTTCCCCTCATAAAGTGGAGAGTAGTGTAATTAAATTGTAAAATCTGTTTAGAAAATCTGTATATGTTTAATCTTTACGGGGTCGCGGGTAACTTTTACATGACGAAATTCATTGCGGGCCGCAAACATTTGTACCAAACTCAGATACCAGCCAAGTTCTGATTCACGTTCGAATTTACATAATTCTAAAGGGCAAGTTTTTTGACATGGAATCAATCAAGTGAATAATTACTGGTTTTTGTCTAGGGCTGGGCAAAATTTTCGACTACTGTTTGAATATCTGGTAACAGCTTGGTTAGCCCGGATTGCACAAGGCATTCGCCGAGTTTTGACTACCGCATGAAAATCTGCACACACCTTCCGCTAACAGACAAAGACATCAAAATTAAGTGTTATATTTGGGTTATGATGTTTTTATTAATATTCCAGTGGCTATGATATTGTTCCAATTCCCAAACGAGCATAATGTGCGCCAATTTCAACAACTTTTTAGTAGGCCGTTTCGTGTATTTCAGAACATCAATACAAGTATTAGAAGTAACTTTAGAAACGAATATATCAATTTGAAAATGTAGCAATACGATGAGGATCAACAAAGTCGACGCAAAAGATAGTAATACGAATGATATTAATTTGGAAATTTGGGTTGAAAATTCATTTCTATAATTGTCATCGGCGTTCGTCGCCAATGATTGCACAATATCTTACAAGTTCGTAGAACAAAACGCGAAGTTCTGCGAGAAATAAAATGAACTAAATATCGGTGTCCACCAGAGCGCAAGACGTCATACATGCGCAATAATGAGATCCGACATTTGGATGTAGAGAGGGCCCAATCACACGAAAATCACAAAACTTATATACTTTAGCCTATAAAATACATTCAAAAATTGAAAAGTCTGTTCACATAATGCGGGCCACAGTAAACAGCCTGGTAAATTATAATCGGCATGGATGAATTGCAAACCCGTATAGACCTCCTAAACACTTAGGTTTTAATCAAAGGCAGCAATTATGTGTATAAAATACATTTAAAAAAACGTAAAATTTGTTGTCTTCTGTTAAGGTGGTCATGAATTTTTGTTCAACGAACGACAATTTCAGCAAATTTTGTCATTATCTGAAAGTTGGAGATCAACCGAAAGATGGCGAGACTGATCGGAAAATTTATGTAAGAGATCCTGCAACACCCTCGGAAATAAAGGAGGTTCCTGCTGGAATATTGGGATCAATCACAGCAGTTGGTTGTATTTCGAGGGCCGGCGTTGACTTAGCTGCCAAATGTAAGTAACTGGTTGAGGAAAACTTTTGTAGTATAATACATGGCATTGATGGCAAAATAGTGTAATCACGCATCCAATTAGGTTTTTTTTGGCATTGAAATTTGTTTTATTGAATTCGATTGAATCAATTATATACATGTTTCGTAACTACAAAAATAATGAATTTTGCATGAATTTACAAAATATTCAAAAAAGTTGAATGTTTTGCAAATACTAATTCGTCTCTTTTTTATAAAATCTCATAATAATTTTTAATAGTTTGTTTAAGTAAATTTTATGAAGCCGAATTGATTCTGGTTTTTATGTGTATTTATTTACATATTAAAAAATGAAGTAATCACTTTTCACTTACATAGCATCTGGAACATCGGATGCACTAAGACATCCACACTATCTAGAAAACATTCTGAAGAATAGAGGAATGATCATGTATATAAGAGAAGTTCTTGGACTAAGTGAGAGATCAAATTAAAATGCTGCAATGACAACTGCTGACCTTTAAAAAATGTGCTTCAAAGTAACTCATCAACACAAAATTTTATTAAAAACTTTGAAATTGAATACTCTGTGATTTCATGTGGCATGTACCAACTGCTACCAATTGTGTTTGGGATTCATCTGCTTTCATTCTTGACTGTTGTATTGTGACACTATATATATATTTTTGCTTGTGTTCATACACCGCAAACAGTTGAATCCGTGTATATCCGTCCGTAAAACTTAATGATGAAAGAATATATCAACACAGTCGCAATGGATCGCTGATCGAACTAAGGACACGGCATAAAAACTCACAGCCATACTTGTATAAATAATATTAAATGGCTTCGTATTTACATCACTTGAATGAAAATATATTGAGTTGGTTGTAAAAAGGGATGACACTTTTGGATTTACGAATCGAATCACATATTTTCCGAATGTCGTCTTACTTTAGCTCCAGCGACCATGTTTGATTGAGATTTAGCGTCAACCAATTATCGCTCGTCAGCGCCGGGTTCCTTTACGCATGTGGACTTTCTGAATTACGAAATTAAACGTAGTCCAAGATAATAATAAAGCCCGAGTTTGCCAATCACGCTGTTAGCCACAAAATATTTGCGTCTTCAACATTTATGAAAAAAAATTTTCGCAGTCGTAGTCGGTTGAACGATTTTTTTTTTCGAATTTAATTTAACTGTGGTTAATTTTATTGTCTTCAAGCATATTCTTGCAAGCATTTCCCATTTATAGTAATTCAGATGCAATTAGAATGTCTATGCTGCTAGCATAAATATTTGCCAAATAACTCCCTGTTTAGCATGTTCTACCGCGATAATGAGCCTATAAAGTACAGAAATAGCGAAATACGGATCTGTGTTTTGGTGTAGTTCTCCTTCATGTGTTTTCTCAAATCATTGATTATGTAAAAAATTATACTAATATTTTGGAGATAAAAAATCTGTAATAAGGCCGATCTTAATTCAATATAACAAGAATACGGGTGTGGGCTTTTTGGACACTGTAGTGGACATAACGATCGTTTCAACATTATGTTGTTGTTATTGTTCTTCTTCGTCACCACCATTATAAAATCGCCTTCCTCTTCGGATACTGGACCAATTGCTTTGAAATTTCCAGTAGTTAAAGTTTGATTTTTTTTCCAGAAGGCTATTACTTTCATTTATTCCTAAATTTTCTATGAATCCTATGAGATCTGATATTTCATTCAAAATTTTGCTGTTTTAAAATTTACTCATGGGAACACCGATTTGAAGCCTATTTCAAGCGGTTGCGTGATCAAGCCTGCAGGTACGGTACTGCTCAGTTACCGTACCACAGTGAAATTGACTTATTGGACACGTCAGTGTACATAACGATCGTTCCAATATTATGTTGTTGTTGTTGTTGTTGTTGTCGTTAGTATTCTTCTCTTTCGTCATGATGAAATCGTTTTTCTCATCGAATACTGGACCAATTGCTTTAAAGCTAATTAAGTTATTTTCAGTGGTTAAAGATTGATTTTTTTGCCAGAAGGAGAGCCAGACATCAAGAGGTTCGTTTTTCCGTGTTTCTCACAGATAAATTGCAACAGCAAGTTTTTCATCAATGCAGATATTGATGATATCAATGACCTATATTTTTTTTATCATGATGGAAATAAGTGTGGCTCAGTCACCGAAAAAACCTTGCCATCCTTGCTATTCAGCATATTTCATTTTCAAGTGTTTCTTTTCTAGATTTGAGCTTTTTTTTATTTTGGGCAAATATACGCATTCAATAAAAAAAGAAAAAAAGTTTAATGGAATCAGATTCGAGTCGAAAATTTTCGATTCGAGGTTCGATTCGAAAAAAAATATATATCCAGAAGTGGCAACCCTATTTGTATATGTATATTAAACTGGCTGTATATGTATGTTTGGTCTGTGCGTAAGCAAGTTTTATTCACTACACCGATTCTGGAGCAAATCTCAATACGAAAGACTATACGTTGGTTTTTCATGCATTTTTAAATTTGTGTCGATTACTTTCTGGAATAAATTATTAAACGAAAAAATACTTTTGAGTGATCTCTTTATTCTGTTATAAATTAGCGCAGTTTGAAATGTAAATAAACAAATTTCTTTCGGAGTTGCGTTGAATATATAAATCAGTTTTAAAGGCTATTATAGTCTCAGATTAGTTTTGAACTATTACCCATCCATCCCGCGGATACAAGGGTTAGTGACTGAAATGTATTCATTTAAAAACGCAGACTGTTTTGCACTATATATTATATTTATAGTCATAAATACGCTTAAATGGAGTTTCTCAAACCGCGTTGCGTGGAAAGCTGCCTTTTCAAGTGTTCCAGGAAACAGGGATCAAAATTGCGACTGAATTGGTCGCCAAGCCAGTGGTACTTCGGCAACTCTGGTTGGTAAATTTGTCACCCAACTGGCTACAAATAGAAAGGCGAGATGAAAAGCTTAAATATCCCAAGGCAAAAAAAAGTTTGAGAAACGCTGTGCTAAAATATTTACAAAAATTGTTCACATTGATATTCGCAATATGCGTATAAAAATTTGCCATGCGATATTCTTCAGCAACCTTTTGGCATTTTTGCAATGTCACATGGCATCGGGTAAAATTTTTTTTGCACCATTTGTCTGATTAATTCTGCCACGGCTCCTTCAATGGCTGTTAATCTTGCTCCATGGGTGCATTTAACAGCGTGACTTGTTTTTGAATCGATACATTCAGTTGTGGAACCGATGAAAAGGTTGAACACCGTAGAACATTTTATTTGATAACCAGCATAATACACCTAAAAACAGCAGGAAAAAAAAGACCAATGACTGTATGTTCACACCAATTAAATATTGAAAAGTTTAAAATATAATGAAGCCAGTTGTAAAATTTATCGTAGGCGATCAGTGCGGAGTAAATGGTGCGCATTCACTCAACCACAGTGCAGTATAACATCCATAATGCTATTAGAATAAGCTCACTTTCCTAATTTGATTCATTAGTAATATTCCATTATAGGCTATATCAAGTACAAATCATGATTCAAAGTTAGGATTTCAGCGGAATATTCACTGACAAATAAAACCCTACATATAGTAATGTGTGTATGTATACATACATGAAACTAACAATATGTGTGTCATCAAAACTATTAAAAACAACTAAAAAAATATATACAAATTAGAGAAATACAATTCATGTACAAATTACAATGCAAGCCTAAATTTTAAAGTATCTAAAATCTCACCATCATATTTGCCCTGCAATTTTGGTATGTTTATGTATTCTAGGGGTAATTATTAGTATATTCGATATGCATAAATTACATTTTTCAAATTATTTGTTTTGTTGAGAGTCAAATACATATGAAACATCTTTTTTTTTCAATTAATAAATGTTATGAGCAATTCATATCGTTACAAACGCTTGATAGCGAAACTGAAAAAGTCATACAGAATTCCAAAACTCGGAACTTACTTACCAAAGATATAAGTGGTTTGTTTCTTATCATTTGTTGCAGAACATGCCAAGATGTTCCTTGTTCACAATATTCCCCGACTTCGCATTCGTTGCAGACACAGGTTGGTAAGTTATGCGACCAATTAAAGTCATTTTCACAATATAAAGTATTCTCACCCTGTAAAAGAAGAAATTTCGTGGCAAAATTATTTTGTAGCGTGATGAATCGTGGCCATTAGGTAGTCTACGGGTAGTATCGTCGCTGTTGTATTGTGATGTAAATAATTCTGAGAGTATTCTCCCGTCAACTTAGCCAACAATTCTCTAATTCAGTGACACGGAGTGGATATATTGATCGTTTTGTTAATATGTCGTTTTTATTGTTCTTGAAGAATTTGTATGTAATTTCCATTAATTTTCTCTTTAATTACTGGACCAATTGTTTTGAAATTTCCATTGGTTAAAGATTGTAATTTTTCGCTAGAAGGCTATCACTTTTAGTGGGCTCGTAGAGATTCGTTTTTTTGTGTGCGAAGACGTCATCAAAAGTAAAAATAGCGCTCCTTCTTCCGAGGCGACTTCGTCTGATATTAGATACCTTGTGGTGTAGTGAAGTCGTGAACACAACTCGGGTACCGGTTGGCTACTATGAAAACTGTACGTGTATTAATCCGTCTCAATATATTTGAGCATCGCTCTCTTGTTAAACTATATTGTTCGATTTATTCCACCAAAATTTGCATCTTTTTTCTTTAAGAAAACTGATGATAAATAATCCATTTCACTATTGCTGTATTGCCAATTTGATATAGTTTCATTACAAAAGAGAGTAAACTCGAATAAATAGAAATATAAGTCGCGGATCGGTATATTGCTGGGAACGGAGTGGATGAAAATAAAACCCCAATGGTATACCAACTTCTGATTCGTCCAAATAACTAGGTTTGGGGATTATTGGGTGATTTCAAATCCTTGTCTCAAGTTTTTGAAAAGTTAGAGTTTGCCATACCTTAATAATATGATTCTGCAAACATGTAATATTGCAAATTGATCCCTGATGATTAGAATCTGAACAAGTTATTTTCCCATATGGAATATTGGTAGGCAGGGAAGGACATTCTGCAAATAAACAAACATGAAACCTACACAACTACACAAGTCATGTATATTGTATGTCACCAAACAAATATTCCAATATACAATTAAGAAAAGGACAAAACAAAAACCAGTTTTGAAAACAAGTCTATCAAAACCTTACTTTATCAGCGATGTCAGTAAATACTCGGTTCATAGATATGATTGAGTTTATAAAACGTGGCAAAAATTTCTGGTTTTGTATTTTAACATTCATACACAAGTTAAACAATACTTTTGCGATTGTGCAATTGCGTTTCATGATTCGTTTTTATTCCAATCTCGTCTCTATTTTGACCTGTTGATGTTGTCTTTTGCAGTTTCAACTCTGTAGATGAAGGAAATAGAAGAACAGTAACATTTGATATATTTACAGTATTTAGAAGTCTTTAATCACGATAATGTGTCTGAGTATATTTGGATTATGTTAAGAGAGTGGTCGGTCTTATCATTTTTGTTCAAAAGGATGAATCAAAAAAAATTCACTTCCATTTGATGAGAATTTCATTCACAAAATCAAGGACCTATAGTATTTTTTATAAATGTAAAAATTTACCCACGCTAGTTTTTAACGCATATCTAAACCCAATCTTTACCAATCAATTTTATATCGAAATACGATCAGAATAATTCTCATCGTAAGATTAATGTCCATTCTCGGAACAGAGATAAACCTGAAAATTTGTTCATTTCCTTTTTACTAAATGACACAATACATAGCCGTTTTCAATTTCATTAAGTTTTGTATGAAATTTCATTAAAATGCCCTCTATCTGCGTGATTTCACCTCTCTTAGCTTCACAGTAACAGGAAACTCCATTCTGCGAAAATAGTTAACTATGCTTGTACCAGACATGGAGATTTAATTGAATAATCGAGATTTCCTTCGGTTTGCTACAAAATGACGAAAAAATAACGAATAACCTTTCTTAATTTCTTTCAGTTCCTTCTGAAATTCCATTAAAATGGCTCTTATCTCCATCATTTCATCACCGTCAGATTCGCAAGTAACAGGGAACTCCTTTCGGCGTAAATATTCATCGAGATTGAAGTCTTGATTTGTCAAATGTGCTGGTGATAGTATGCAGTTCCCGTTTTCGCATGCTTGCTTCGGTTTGCAGTGGAAAGTTTCCGAAACCACGATGGTAGAAATATAAAATATACTACTCAATCGAATAACTATATATTTCATCGTGACAAAGGCTATCTATCAAACAAATAATCAATGCTAGGCAAATTCTTTATCAACACTTCATTTTACAAAATTGGGTACTCACGTACCAGGTTGGGCCATAATTTCCTTCTGATTTTTCTTATTTTAGTTCTATTACGAGTTCGGGGACTGGCTGTGTTAGCCAAGTGAATATACTCCCTGTCCATAAGTTTCAGCCCCTTTATACAATTTGATGTAAAGTAGGCGAACAAAATTAGTTGCCTCCGCATTGGTACATATACTTCTGGAGCGTCCAAAGTTGTTTATCTGGCAAATAGAAACAATCCTACAAGCAACTCGAATGTCTTATCTTGCACTTTTTCAATTGCTATTCTGCAATGTTCTGTATGATTAAAACCGACTCTCCCAGTCAAGCGATTTACAACAAACAATATTCCTAGTTTTATTTGTAACACGACATCAAAGTGAGAAGTTAATTACGATTGACTTACTAGATTGAATTAAATATCACTGATACAAATCAATCGAATTTTCATGTCAAAGTAAGACCGCCCAGACATAATACGATTACCTTACTTACAATATATAACATTTTTTCTTAAACAGCAGAAACACCTCCAAGTACTACCAATCCCTCTGGCTAGGATGCCACTGATAAATTTGATTTGGGCTTGTTTCGCGAAATTAAAATTGTCCTAAACACTGTTTGCTGCGGAACTCGACAAATATGCACTTAATCTGTAATCATGAAAGGACTTTCTATGCCCGGGGCCACAGTAAAACACCGTTTCGCATAAACATTTATCAGTATTTATTAGCATGATATTGATGAATAAACGATTTTTCACATAGAATTAAAAATTGTAAGTCTTGCATACGAAGAATATCGTATAGACTCGAAAAACTGATTTCTTTTGCAACATTATTGATTACTGATGTGTGTGATGTTACTGATTGGTTAACTCTCGATGTCGATTACTCTTTGGGATTTTAATTTAATACAATAATTGGTAAGCATCATACATGCAACTGAATTTACATTCTCTTTTCGCTAAATCCAACTTTAACCAACCAAATGGTAATTAAATCTCATTCGGAATAGGGTCTAGAAAAATAGAGTTATACGCAATTTCCTGAATACAATGCACAGCGATGTAAATATTTTTCCATTTGAAGAACATCGGTCCTGTGTCCGGTTCTCCTGGGCGCCATTGGACGTACGAATCATCTGTTGTTACATTGCCATACTGTGGTAATGTATGAAGAGAATATTAATTTGGTAATATATAAATAAATTTGCCATAACTAAACATAATAATTTTGAACTGACTTATCTGGCTAAGTATGAAGGATATACAAACGACCACATATATCTACATCCACGGGTGTTAAAAAGTAACGCAAAATGAACAGAAGTTAAAATGAAATGCTACTTAAAACATTAAACGACTGCCATTTGAACATTTTACGACTTACTCTTCCTAACAGTTACTTTGTTAACGTTGCCATGGCGAAAAATGTTACCCTAATTTTGCGTAACTTTTTTAACACCCCGTAATATTTGAAACAAAGGTGCGCAAACTGCGGCCCGTGGGCCAAATGAGGCACACAAGGAAAAATTGTGCGGCCCGCGGCGAAGTGCCAATTTTGAATAGTGTGCCCGCGAAACGAGTTTAGTTTATTTAATTTGGTACGTGCGAGCAATTCTAATCCTCTCGCCTCACAACGCCTATACCAGATTAGCAAAAGTAGCTAGCAAAATCCTCTTGTAAAATGCACGATGTTATAAAAACTTGTTTCTCATTGAATTCGTTTAAAGTCGGTGTGACGATAAATTTGAATAGCAGTTCTTTCTAGTAATTTATGCGTTTTAACTCACTATTTTTGCAAGGACCCCTAACAACCCCTAACAATGCCGATACTACTGGAGTACCAAATTGATGTCTATGTCTATCGTTCTTAGGTGTTCTACCAGCACGTCGTAGGCTATTTTAGATTTGATATTTGCAAGATTCCAATTCTTTTTTCCACATATTGTGACCGCCGATTTGTAATCGATGCTCAATTTTTTACGTGGTCCTGTCCAACAACAATCTTTTTCTATCCGTAACTCGCAATATTGTAGAGAGTAAAACATACGCTATTTACATTGTCGTGTACACTTGTGAATCGGTAGTTTGTAATTGTTGGTAAAATTTAATGCTGTGTTAGGACAGTTATTATACAGGCCATAAAAACTGCCATCTAATGAATGAATTTGCTTTTTAACAATTCATACATTAAAAAAGATTACAAACTTCAACTTCCTGAGTCTAAGTAACGCATGAGTTTTTAGCAGGAAAAATCTCAAATACATGACAGTTCAAATGTAGAAAGTTTTATGGGTGTTTCGGTTGATCGCAGTAAAGAAAAATGGTAAAATCAAGACATACTTTGATTCGCGCAATGATGCTAGCGTTTTTCGCCGGGGTTGATACTACAGCGCTGACAATATTTATGCAATATCAACCTTCGCATATATATAAGAAGGACACAAAAACAAACGCAAAGCGATGGAGTAAGGAAACGAATATACAAGCAATTGCTGCAATCAGCTTTAAAAATAATTGAAGACAGTCAAATCTTCAAATTTGAGTTGGTTTGCGCGAGACTAACTTCCTATCTTTTCTCTATGCCTTTATGCCAGTGGATCCGTATGCGTATACTGCAAGGATACTGTAGCTGGAATAAACATAACTGACTATTCTATCTAAATGAGTCCAGCTGCACACTAACACAGCTTTAACTGAGCTTTAAACTTAACTGTGTTTACATTGCAAATCTCCGGCTCAATTACCATGGCCAACCTCACCCAAGTGTAATAATAAATCAGGTACACAATGCTGAACCGGGAAGATTCGAGTCTTTAGAATACTAAAAATCTTAAGAGATATTGTAACATATCGCGAACTTTGTCCGGATTTGGCTTGATATTAGAAGGAGAATTCAAAATCACAGCACCGGCATTTTTTAAGATGAATGTTGTATATATGTTGTCTCTAACCCTTGTGAAAACATAAAGAAAGTAAATATTCGACAAAGAAGCAAACTCACCACTCGTGATTTCAATATTTTCTATTTCAAGTTTTCTGGTTAATCCTCTCAAATAAATCATTACTTTCATCGGTTGATCGATTTGATTTTATGTTCCTTCATTAGTTTTACTTATATCGGAAATTAAATAACAATTCGCGAATATAATGTTAGGGATAATAATTTCGCTATGAATTTATCTGTATTTTTTCATTTACTCTGTGCTTCCTTCTGAAACAAGCTTTAAACTCAATGAATAAATTTGAAAAGTTCCTGCATATCTGGCACTGACAAATAAATCTAAATTATTTTGAAAAATATTACAGGAAATTAGAAAACACATATCTTGTGTTAGTTGGTGATAATCATATTAATATTTTACTTGTAATTCAGAAGTCGGACTGTAAGTACTATTGGCTCGGCGATGTGGCGGATCGTTCTAAGCGTTAGGAATACGCTCTCCACCGCACCTCTCATTACCATGCTTGGGTTCGCAGGTGCAAATCCCGTGCGGATAATTATGTGCGATAAGATTGCTGTACTACTCGCCGTCGTAGGCCGGTTACGGCTTTACGGCTTCCTCCACCACCAAGTCCATGCATCTGAAACAAATAACTGGCCAACTAGTCCCATACTCGACATGAACTAGTAACCGAACGAGAGGCCGTGGATCGCCATATGTTTAAGCCGTGTTTCCTCTCCCCTGGGATAAATATGTAAATGCTAATCTTAAAAACCCTATTACTCACGATATAAATCAGAAAATTTCACTGCCCAAAGCAATAATAGTAGTTTGACGATTATTCAGCGACCACCTAACATGTTAAAAATAACGAAGGTGTATAAAACAACAAGACCCCTTCTTTGATCGACTTGACCTCGACTTTATATCGTTCTCCATCTCTGTCAGTTTCTTATCAAAGACTTTGTCCTTGTCAATTATTCGGTTCAATTCTGTCAAAAAAGAAACCTTATTTTTATAACAAAAAATATGCCGGTGATATTTGATCAAAATGTGCAGTTGAATTTTTATGAATAAGGTCCACTCGTGGTTTATCGGTTTGCGACATTGGTGATTTATAATTTTGACTTAAAATATTCAAATATATGTTGTTTTTATATTTAATGAGCGAGGGTTTTTGATCCTTACATTCATACATTATAATATAAATTATGAAATGCAACAGGGTTTTCCAAGGGGTCCCGGAGTTTTTTTCTAATAATATGTTACCAAAGTAAATCAAGCAGCGTCGGGCTCGATTGTACTTGCATAAGTCCGGCTGTGAATGCTGGGTGCTGCAACCGCAGTGCTGCTAAATTTAAATAGCTCGGTAAGCCCACTTGCATCCACTACGTTTACATCACCTACGTTTAAAACAAATAACCCAAAAACTCATTCAAACGCTTCAATCAATTTCAAATAATGATATTACACTATTTTGGTAAAACCCCAGTTTGGGATAAAGATGTGCAAACGCTTTATAAATATTAATTTTTGCAATAATATTACTAGATTACTTTGTTCTAATTCGTCCCGATACGCAGTAATGCGATCTTCAATGCTTTTCTCTTTTGCATGCTTTGAACCAAATTCTAATTCTAAAATTAAAGTGTTGTAAAAACCTGTTATGGACTAGGGCTGTTTGCTTCTGTAAATATTTCAACAAAACGGAACACTGCGATAGAATTATGAATATATATATATATACAATTAGTATGGAACTAGTGTAGTAGGCCTACATTTAGTAAAGTACAAATATAAAATAGACCGAGTAGAGCTTGATTTGATAAAATAAAATGTTGTATACGCAAATCTTTATTGGCAACCACACCAGTCAAAAATGAATATTTTTTTCGACTTTAATTTTAATGCTTTTTTTTTAATTTTCTTCCGTCTTCTGAGCTTGAATGAATTTTGAAAAAAAATTGGTTGGTTGAACTCGTATGCGAATATATGTACTCAATATAATGTACAACTTTCCACAATTGAAACCATAAATTGGCTCTAGCAGTCTCTTTGAAACCTAAATCTTCTGAATGAAAGATAACACATATCATTGGATGTAGAAGCATTAAATTATGACTTATTGTGATGAAATAAAATTTATTCATCGATATCATTTATTATTTTCTACCTTGCCGCTTACTTTCAACTTGTTCCCGAATGTTGTTACCTTGCAATTGAATATCTGCATCAGGTTCATCGCCTGGGTTTGTTCTGGCAAATTTTTTCATCTCCATCCCAATTTCTCTTAAATCTTTATAAGGTGTTGATTGATTAGTTATTGAAAATTTAAAACTTGTAATCTGCCCGCAGTTAAAATAATCTTTCGATTGATTCTTTAGATCAGTGACTAGTTCGCATCTTTGTATTGTGATTCGTGAGGTCAAAGATGTCTCTATGTCGAAAGCATCGTTTTAACAATCCCTGCTGATGCACCCATTCCCTCTCATCGCCAGTTAAATGGTATATATATATATATATATGTATATAACAAAAATCGGAGAATATTTGACTTTTTTCAAAGCTGTTACAGGTTGGGCTCGGGATAGTGATTCGAACTTACTGTCAGTGTCTATCATAAAATATTTACCTTTTTTCAAAAAATTTATATTCTGCAATGTGCTATAAATCAATGGCAGTAAATTATCGTTGTTCTTCGCGATGTTTTTCGACCGACAAATAAACGGAAACTCTCGTCTCTCCAAATAATCGTCGACATCGTAACCTGGCTCTCCAATCCATCGGCGTTGGACTGCAGTTCGTCAACTGACATCCTAGCCGAGGTTGGCATTTGAATACAACATCATCTTCACAAGATGACAGCCTCGCCGCATGAAATAGAATGATAATTAGGAAATATTCTACACATTTTACAAATACTATAATTTCTGTAATTGAAAATTCTCATATATATATATATGAAAGAACATTCTACACTGCGAAAGAGGATTTCCGTAATCCTCTTTTCTATCTAAAACATGGCATCTACGTATGTTTACATTCACAGTCGTTATGGCTATGTCCTTCACATAATTACGATAATTATTCGGAGCGCATGATAAACACGACAAGGACAATTCGAATAAACTTTCTTTGCAGCGGTCATCAGACTGAAATTGCCCAGTCTTTCATAGACAAATCACTTTGCAGGCTCACGACATCAACCGTCGCACATACGCGACATTTAAAAACCATATTGAGGGTGATTAAACATAAATATTGACCACAATCTTAACGACCATTTTCAGTATGTCTCGGGCTTTGAATTTAGCATTTTGTTTCTCGAGTGTTTGCAAAAAACTCGTCAGTGACTGACTGATATAATGCAGATGAATTTATCGCAAACGATTACCGCATTTCGTGAATATTTACATAGCCAAAGTCCGTCCATACTCTTTTGTACTTTAATTGGCGCTCCAGAAGTATGTGTACCAATATGGAGGTAACAAATTTTGTTCGCCTTCTTTACATCAAGTTGTGTAAAAGGACCGGAATCCAACGGCAGGGAGCGTATTCACTTGGCTAACACAGACAGACCCCGAACTAATAGAACGAAAATAAGCGAAATCGGAATGAAATTATGCCCTACCCTAACCTGGTACACATACTACGGGAGTACCCTTATCAAAATATATATTTCGAACTATCCAATACTTCTGTCTATGCAGAGTGGGATAGCAATATAAGATTTGATACAAAATATATCCCAAATACAATAACTATTTTATTGTACGAAACAAGTATACTTACATAACAGAAAAATTATTGAAACTAATCAGTTAAAAAGATTCAAAAGGATAATAAAAACACTGCACTAATCTGCATTAGAAAAATGGGCGCTCCAAATAAGGGATTTCCATGACAGATCGAAGCAAAAAACAGGAATAGTCGCTGCTATATTACGCTCCATAGTAAAAAAAATACTTCAAACCGGAAGATAGCTGTGGATCATTTATCTACTTGATGTCTTTATGTAGAAATACAATTTGACTAGCAAATAACAGAATAGTACATAATGGAAAATCGTTGAAAAGTAGAGAACTAAAATGAGATATAACAATGTAGTAGAGAAGTACAACTGAAATCGTGGATGAAATGAATGATCGAGGTAACTTGCTATGGCAGGAGGAGTATCCGCAAATCTAAATTCGTGAATTCCCAAACGATCACAAGAAACCAGCGGTCTATTATAGAGATTTAAAGCATAAAATGTTCAAACGATATGAAGTCAATCTCAGTGATAATAAAAGATTGAATAGCAGTATATAACACCAAGCATGATAGTCAAGAGAAATCAATAATTTTATTTGTAAGCTAGTAGTGAAAGAGATGATTAGTACAAGTATGAAGATAAAATTAGAGAAAAATATAGGATGTTTCATTTGAAATTTCAGTACCAAAAGTGAATAATAATAAAATCTTTTGCTACAATATGAAAGGAACATTGTACAGGGAACGTTTGACTTGAATGTGTAGGCGAAACAATAATAAAAGGCCGACTTCAAAGACCAGATTTAGGTTTTTTGTTTGCACCCCAATCATAAGGCATATATTGCACTTTATAATTCTTATCGCCAATCATCTTAGTCAGCTGATCTTTCTTCTCACATTTAGGAAGACACTCACAAACCCACTCGACAACCTGAATAAATATAACATTAGAAATTATAATTTGGTATTGGGTATTATAAATTAAAAAGGTCTCTAATGTTTAATAGAAAAGGGTATGAAAGAGCCAAATTAAAAGTTTAGTTTAGAAAACTAGAGATCAATGCACAATTGAGGAATTCTTCGAAATGTCAATAATGACTAGGGCTGGGAATTTCAGGGAAAACACTTTAACCGTTAACCGGGTAAAATTAACCGGTTAACCGCCGCGTGACGTTTGACGTAATAATTTATAATTTCAGCTTGTTACGTCACAATGCTTATAAAGCAATTTTGCGTGTTCTTATCCTGGTATCGCTTATTAAAATTATTCACGAATCGAGATAGTTTTATGATTGCTCTGTTGCAAGAGATAGGCAGCGTGGTTCAGGCGTGTGGAAGTATTTTAGAAAACCTGATTCCGTTGTTAAACGTCATTTATGTGACAAATTATCAGTGTTCGATGTGCAAATTTTACTTCGAGATATATATCATATAAAGAAAAACGGCATCAACTGCGCACTCGTTTTATGACATTGAATATCCGATTATGCAATGAAATCGTGAACAATATATTTCGAAATCGACCGAAAACTGATTCTGAATTCATCATTGTCAAACTTCCATAATCAGCAATCTAGGTAATTCCATTATTTTTCACATTTATTGAGTCCTTACCCACACACCCGGTTAACGTTCCCAGCCCTAATAATGACACATGAAGGTGGGACCATGAATAATAAAAGAAAGGGCAAAATTTAAGATAAAATATTGAGACACATTGTCCATCGGAAAAATGGAAGTAACAGTCTTCCAGTGACTTCTTTCAACTTTGGTACTGAAAATTTGAAATTGATTAGTTGCGGATGGAAGTGGTTTTTCACATACTAGATAGATCAACAACAATGTCCATTTCACGTCCAATTGTGTGGCTTATATGAAGTATACCAAATATTCAAGGAATGAACTTGAATTATTCCAGCATTTCTATCTCACCTTTCCAGTATTTTCACCAAAATCCACTTTATACCAGTCCAATATTTTGCTGAGTTTCACAATTTTCTTCTTTGTGTCGAGTTCACATCCATCTTCAGTTTCTAAGAATGATTCTGCAGAACATTTCAATTCATCCATAATGCCCTGGGTGTGAGAATAAAACAGATTTTATAAGAGTCAGGGTTGGGGTTGTATTTTCAAACTCCTCAGTCCGGCCTTTGAATTTTGAAATCGAGAGTCAAATGCGTGAGAGGATTGCTGGAATCCTGCTGTTTTTATCGCAGTTCGGTTGTCGTGGGTGATAATTATGTGCGAGAGGATTACTAGACTCATCGCCATAGTAGGGTGGTTCAAGCTACCGCAGGCTGGTTGCAACTTCCCTCACCATCAAGTCAATAAATACATTGAAACAAATACCTTTCTAACTAATCACATAATAGGCATGGACTGGCAATTTACCTCCTGGGATAACTACTCCTACTCCTATGGTTTGGAATTTATAAATTGGGTTAATTATATAAATCTATGAGTGAAGTTCATTTGAAAATAGTTTAAGGTATATAACATCATCAACACTATTGTAGCCATATTATTGAACCCCTTATGATTTTTGTCTCGTACTATAAGAAAATTCAGAAGATAAACTTACATCTGAAGAATAGGTTTTTATAGGTGGGCAACTCTTTGCACCGCAAACAAGAGCAAAATGTATGAGAGGTTCATGCTTATCCAAAGCCACTTTCAACCTCGCATCAGACTTGGAAAATGGCTTCGTTAACATTCCAACACCCTGCAAAACCAAAAAATTTTAACTGGCTTTTATTAATACAATTATATACCAGCTGTGTTTTCAGACCACTGAATATTAGAGATGTACCGATACCACTTTTGTCGCCGATACCGATCCGATACCAGCTAAAAACGCCGATACCGATACGCCGATACTATAAAAAAGCCGATACCGATACTATGTAAATATTATTTAATTAGGTGTGCTGTGTAGGGCAGACGAGTTAAAACAATGGTCTCTAAGCGTTGTTCATATTCATAGCACACATTATTTCAAATCGAAAAAAGAGATATATCACATAATATGAAATTGATGTTTAGTATTCAGATGCTTTAACTCAGGGTGCACAACACGCGGCATGCGTGCCAAATTTGGCACGCCATACGCTCAAACGTGGCACGCGAATGGTTCTGTAAAAAAAAAATTATTTATGATATACAATAAAATATCACGCTTTTATCAAAATCAGCATTTTTTCAGGACATTAAATTGTTTCAATAAATAGATATTCGTTATTATGTATTATTAATGGGAAGTTCATTTACAAAGGTTGTTTCCCCGAGCATCGACTTCCTTGTTTACTTCGTGAGATTAGCCAATCAGCAAGATGCAAAAAGTGACGCTCAGACAGATTTTAAGGAGTGGTCGAAAACATTACCTCGTTTTCGCATTTTTGAATTCTATTCATTAGTTTTCAGTTGTGTTTCGGATATTTAAATATATATAAAATAATTCAATGATCACTTTGTCTTCTTAGGAGTTCCAGTTTAATTGCAGTAATCAAAAATTAGTGTAGATATATATATGGATGTGATAGACTAGGCTAAAATTCAGATTGTTGAATGCGATGAATCAGAATGATGGTTTGAAACAAATATCCAATTTTACAGGCGCCAACTCGTGTAACCACTCTTAAAATGAGCACCGAAAATTTTGCAATGGTATAGTATAGGAAGAATTTTACGAGGGTCAGAGGTCGGGAAAGGTCCATACCAACAATTGCGCGTGGCACGCAACAAGATTATTTTGAGAAAATTTGGCACGTGTCCTCATTTGAGTTGTGCACCCCTGCAGTTTAACTGATTTAAGATACATCGTACAGTGACGCTAGAAATCTCGGTATTCAATTAGAAAATTCATATGTTAATATCGCGACATATATATCATATATTTTGAGGCAATCTAGCTAGGCGGTCATGTCAAAATATCTATAAAGAAATTGTGTAGTTATACAAAATTAATACCTGCATAGACTGATAATTGTGTCGGAATTTAGTTTATCGATGTTGACGGACTAAATGACAGTCGTACTTGACGACAAACAGTCAGAATTTATAGCCGTGCCAAAAGTGCATGTGCCGATAATAAGAACTCCAATTCCACTGTATGATTTAAACCTGGGCGCCTAGTTGCTTTTTGTTATGTGCTGTGTTGATCTATTTCTTCATAATTACTATGTAATATTAAAAATGTCAATATAAAAATTTGACAGCAAAAATAGTCAAATTAGTTGAGCTAGTTTGGCTGATAAATAGCAAAAAACACGTGAATCCTAATCCCTCGCGGGGTGGGGACATGTATGGCTCGGAGCCCACAATCTCTCCAGACAAAAAATAAATTGAAAAGTAACATTCCAACTTATCTTGTAAAACATTCTGGACCATATCAAAAAGGTAAATATATCGGAAATATCGGCGCTAATCTAACCGATACCGATACATGGCCGATAGCGAAAAAATGGCCGATACCCGATACATCGGCACATCTCTACTGAATATCCTTTTGATAGATAGCCTGAGTTGTAAATGTAATTCAAAACAAAAGTCAATAAAGATGATAGAAAAAAAGCCTAATCTAGTAGGAATATAACACATTTCCCTTTGAATATTCATCATCATTCATTTTGTATTTTTGAGTGATTTCAACAATTCCACCTAAATATTGGCATTAGCTAATTTCACATAAAAAATCCATGTCCTACCGACAAACAAGGTATAATTTGATATAAACTATGAAATTTTAAAATTTATGCTCTAGTGATACCACATAGGACCCAATGATAAATTCCCAAATTATATATATAAATATAAATAGGTTACAGTAGCATGTTTCGAGAAAATTACAAATTAAACCAGTGAAATGCTAGTTGTTAAAAGTTCAACTACTGAAGACAGAAAGTTCTAATCTGTTTAAACAAGGTAAAATCTATGTCTCACTGTCTGATTGTACAGTTTAAAGTCGAGAATCTATAAAATTTAGACATCGAAACTTCTTTCAAAATCTCACTCATAACCATGACTAGCAAACATGTCACATAATCAATAAGACATAATGTTAAATCATGATGACTGCCTTCTGTACTCATTATTCAATCACTGTCAGTTAAATATTAGTGAGTAATTTAACGATTGATTATAAAAATAAAGTTTGAAAAAATACTTATATGACATATCCTCGTATCACAACAATATATTTCAAAGTCATTAAAAAAATGCAGCTATAGATAAAAAAATAAATTTCCTGAACATTTTCCAAAATATGATACATTAAAAAATTATAAATTTTTTAATCTTTGCTTTTTTTAACTGTAAATGACAAATTTCCCTACAAGGCAGCAAATAAGCCTGCATATATTACCACCTACCTTCCTATTTGATCTCAGAATTCCATTTTCAATATCTTGAAGAGAATAATTGAGACCTCCGATTCGGTAAGAAACACAGTTGAAAAACTGTAACGAATATAGAAAGTGTTGGATAATATTTTGGAAAATACAGTGGTACAGTTTTATCACATGCGAAACATGCTCTATTCACAGTAATTCACGAAGTACCGGAATTGAAAACATTCTATAAAAGCCTTTATAACTTCATTTTAAGATGAAATAATATACCATATATATCAGTTGATATAAATAGCTCACTCCTTTTATACGGCTGAGGGCTTAGAATATAACATCTATTCATAATATCTAGAAGAGAGGAAATCTATCCATCCACCAGAACTCGTCTGGTCCATGTCAGGTATGGAATTAATTGACCATTTATTTGTTTCAGATGCATGGACTTGATTGTAGAGGAAGTCATTACTGAACAGCAGTTATGTGAACCATCTCACGATGGTAAGGAGTCGAGCAATTATTCATACCAACCCAGAATTTGAACCTGTGAACCCACACAGGGTAAAATTAATAAGGTACCTTATATCTTTGCCATGTTGAAGAAGGAAATCCAACTTCAACATTTCCATGAATAACCAATGCATTATATATATTTATGAAGAAGGCAAGTTTCTCCTCCCTGGACATGTTATCCAACTAAAAAGAATAATACAATATCTGAATATTGGTATCAAATTGAACCTCAGCAGATAATTTTGAAATAAAAATATTAACTGGTGTGAAAAATTTTGCTTAGCTGGGACCAGTTATGAAGGTAGGTTGAAGCAAACCAGCCAAATGTCTGAATGTCTGACTGCTTTCAACAATAAATTTTGACACAGATCCTGTAACAGATTCACACAAGATAATTCTTGATATAAAAAATATCTTCACAATAATTCAATTATCAATAAAATATAAATCATCGAATTGAAGTTTTTTTTAACGGCACATTATATATTAAATCTTAATAAAAAACACAACATAATGTACAATAAGTTGGGGTTACATGAGACTAACTACTATCTTTCTTTGCTCTATGCTTTTGTTGATGTGGATCAGTATGCATGTAACGCAACGATGATGTGGTAAGAATGAAGATGACTACACTATTTGATTCAAGAGTCTTGCTTCAGAAATCAGACAAAACATTACAGAAATACATTTGTGTTAGTGTGCAGCAAGACTTGAACAAAATGTAAAGTACAATGACACTATATACTTACATTAACTCTCTGCAATTGTCCAGTGAGATTACCAAATTCTTTGAATAAATCGCTTTCTTTAATTCCATCATAATCAACACATTTTCCGTCAGATGAAAGAAATTCCCCATACAGTTTAAGAATTTGTTTTCTCAACAAAACTGCCAGTTCTGATGCTGTAGAAATAGAAAAGTGTTTAAACAGAAATAATGCATCAGCACATTCCTTGGAATAGATGAGTAATGGATGTAGAATTTTAATATCAAAGAAAAGATAAATCCATAAATAAATTCAGATCAAATTAATACTCATTTATGCAAATTCCTGCAACATCAAACAAAGTCAGATAAATGAAATCAAACAAACTAAAGGGGGGGGGGGGGGGGGGGGGGAGTCGCCTCAGTTAAACAATGCTTAGTATTATCATGGCCCTAAACGTAATTTATAGTGTTTCATTTTATCTGGTTATTTATTGCATGTCACTGCTGCTGGACGAAGTTCTACTAATTTCAGTGATTTCAGTAATCTGACGTCATTTCATTTGTGAGATTAAGTACTTACGTATTTATATAAGTATAAGTTCATTTTGACTCCATAACCAGCATAGAAGATGATAAAATAATTGATAGAGACAAAATAAATAAAACTGGTTACAGAACCAGGAAAGCGAACAAAACCTTATTAATTAAGTAAGGTTCAAAACGTGCAGAGTTTAGATTGAAAGGTGTTGTCAAAAGATGTAGTACATGTTTGTTCAACCAAATATATCTACTGACTACTGTATATATATATATATATATTATTTATGAATATTTACATATTTTATTTAAATGAGCTATCATGAATGAGAAATTATAAATGATAACGTGACTAAGAATTTAAATGCAAAACTCAACCTGGTAAAGGCTTAACATCAACAGATACATTTGCATTAAGTGCATTTGATGGTTCATCTTGAAGCAATCTATACAGAGTAGAATCATCATTGAAAGCATCACCAGCGTGAACGTTTGATAAAAAATGCAATCGATACAAGTTGGCGGCCATTTCAGCAGCTTGCTTTCGGTCTGAACAGCAAAATAAAATCTTCAATTCTTCACTCAAGCTCGATGGCTTGAGAATAAATGAAATTAAACTATAGGTATAATTTTCAAGGTACCGTATATAGAAATCACTAATTGCCTGAACTTATTAAAATAAATTGTTAAGATAGTTCGAAATAAATGATCAAATTTTCAAATACTGTGAAAAACATAATTTTCAGATTAATATTACCGTGATGTTTGAATCGAATAAAAATACAATTTAATAACTAATAACACAACAATACTCAAAAGTTTGAGGTTGGGCCGCTACTAAGCATGCATGTTTAGATATTGTGTAACAGATGACCAAACCGAAAAAATATATTACCAGTTTTCTTATTTTCCATGATGAATGATACAAAATCACTGCCAGAAAAAACATTTCGATAAACTGTAAGCATCTGTCTTTGGTCCTTTATTATTCCACTATTTTTGAAATCTTGGATTAGATTGGCATTTTCATCAATTTCAGATTGCAATGATGCTGATGCTGCAAATAGTTATAGAAGATATGAGTGCATTTGCAGATTCCAATCTAGCTATATCACTAATCTAAACTTATGTTATTATAGACAGTAATAGGTGATAATGATTGGTTATTTAATAATTATACTAGCAAGCATTCTTGCATACAACTGTATGCTGTATGCCTGTATCCATAGTGAGAATAGGCAAGGACCATTATATTACTAATCAGATCTTGCCTTCCAAATTTATAACAACTTGGTTGATGTGTAGAGCATGGCCTTTAAACCCGAGATGAACACAGTTAAGGCTTTATCTACCGGGCCAACTGTGCTTCACTTGTTAAAGGTATATTAAAGATCGTAGACATGTTACCATTAGTTCCACTTTTAGAATTTGAAGACTGTGGTATGGGCGGTGCATCTGTAGGAACAGGATTGGTTTTCACTTCATTTGTAAGTTTGTTGAGTTCTTCCTCGGTCTGAAAAAAGGGTTTGAGAACGGGTAAGACCTAATAATATTTTCCTTACAGATAATAACATGTCATACACAACATCTAGTTTACTTTATTGAATTATATAGAAGATTTTCTAATCAACCTAATGCTATCCCTCGTTTTAGCATCCATGTGGAAACTGCTCAATTTTAACAAGAATGAAAGGACATCCAGTTCGATACACAATTCTACATTATTTTATTTCTAATTGTCTTATATCCGTGGTTCTCAAAGTGGGAAGAGAATTAGTGCGTCGTTTCAATTTTTCTGGGGTGTTCTTTTGCGGATTTGTAACTGCAATCAGTAGAAAAGTCTTATTCTCGTTGGAATCACACTTGAGAACTGAAGAATACGATAATTTTTAAAATTGTAACGTTCAACTTTAACTATGTGACCTCACCAATGTCACATGTCATTAGTGAGTTAGTCATTAGTTAAAGAGTTAAAATTGAAAGTTGTTAAAGCGTTTTTCAGGGGGAGTCGCAACTTGAACATATTTTTTGAAGGGCGTAACAATACCCAGAAGCTTGAGAACCACTGTCCTATATAGTCAAGCATGTCTCACCAATTTCTGAAAGTCATCATTCCCACCAACATGGATGTTGTTAAAGAATATTTGAGGAACTGTTCTCTTCCCAGTTATTTCAATCATTTTAGACCTTGAAAAATAATAGATCAGTAAAAGATACTGAATATCAGAATGAATTCAACACCAATTTGTTACGACTGTGAGAAAAAGTTCTCCTATTTTTAGAATAACTTCTATATTTAAAGACATCAAATATAATGGTGAATACATATCAGAATAGAGAATACACCAAAGACAATTCGCATTGGGTTATTTTGGAATACAGAAATATGCATACAGTTTTGTGATGTAGTGCAAAATATCAACTTAACACAAATAAATAAATGTAAGATGATACTGTGATAGCTAAATACTACACTACGACCTAGTGAACACCAATCCCAGCCAGTGATGTCTCATGAATGATCCAATTGTCATAGACATATAGAGGGCACAGTCCCTGAATCCTGCAATGCCAATCACTGTTAAAGTTTTGAACTTAGAATAAAGTATTTCAATAGAGCCAGAAAACACTAATAACACTGAACAAACTCTTTCACTGGTCTGCTGATAGTTGTCAGGTTGTGTAAGTTACGGTAGAGCCCACGCTCCACAGTCTTAATCAAGTTATTGTGCAAATAATAAGTATAAGTTTAAATACTGAAATATCTAAATGCACGAAGGTTACCAGTACCGGTACCACCAATGTATGATACCGTAATTCAGTATAATTCCAGAATTCAGTATTTAAACTTTGCAGGCTAGTAGTTTATATCTATAAGAAACTGCGGATTCCAACCTGAAATCAGGATTGTCGTCCAAGTTAACGTCAACATATTCCAGCTTCAAATCCCCAAGTTTCGCTTTGGCCGCCTTACAATGCGGGCATCCAGACGTGGAATATATAGTAATTCTTCCTTGCATTATCACTCCAACACTAAGAGTACTTTTCAGATAATATGAAACCGGCTACGTAAAGCGCTAAGTCTGAATAATGGAATACGAATGCAGACTCAATCGCAGAAAGCTTAAATATTGCGTAATCAGAGGCGTCACGCATGAAAGACAATAAATGTAAATATAGGCAGATCATCGTGATTCAGCATGGATATTTTAGCGCTATCGCACATTCTCATAGACAATAAATACAGCTGTAGTTTTCACGACATTCCCAAAGAATTAGCTCAATGCGAGGACGCACGCACTCAATCAAAAATAAAGAAGACTGATATATACTCACGTGTGAGCGATTGATTAGATTTCATGGCACAAATATTTGACAGCATTTTCACTCGTGACTATTTTGTAATGGCAAATCGATGAGGAGTTTCATACCAGTGATGCATCATTTCTATTCTACCGTGAATTTATCATTTAAAAAACTTTAGGTACTGGAGTTGCAATTTCGTCACATCCAAGAAATGTGTGTTCAAGCACGTCACATCTGTTGTGATATATATTGTTCAATTTCAACGACACATACTATGTCAAAATACAAATTACAAAATCCGTATTGTTTTCCTAAGGGCCCATTCACATCTGTTCACACCACTGCGTTGACGCACCTTCAAACCTTGTTTGTTTAACTTAATCGTGCGTTGCTGCGTTAACGCATCATTTTGACGCACTGCGTCAACGCAACGAATTCTCGAGGACACATTCTTTTGCGTTGACGCGCTGCGTTAGTCGAGATTTGAGTTGGATTCAGGTGCTTTGTGATGTGGTTTGGCGATGACTTTAAACAAAAATCGACGATTGAGTTTACTGTTGTGGTTGAGAAAACGGGAGGATAAAAAAGAGATGGAAAATAAGAAGGTGGTGAGGCCATTCTATTTTGCATAGAAGAGAAACTAGAGGTAGGTACCGCTTACCGATGCAGAACCGGTACTGTCTGTACCGGTACGTGTACGGTACACTGGTACGGCAGCCCTGGCACCGGTATGCCTGTACCATACCGTATTTGCAGTGGTTTGTAACAAAAATGAAATTGCTACTTGCATGGTTCTAGGTTTATCTGTTAGGATAACAATGCAGGCTCCCTGTACTATAATTACAAGAAAACATATAACATTGTGCTCCTGGCTATTGTTGATGCTTGGTAAATATTAAACCTGGTTTTGTATCATTCTAGTTAGTATTTATGAAATGAATTTTGTTACTTACCACTCGTGGTTGCTTTATATGAATGAATAAATTGAAAACACATTATCTTCTATTATGATTGTGTGGATTCTACATAGGCATTTAATCCAAACAGTGCCATCAAAAACTCAACGAAATTTATATTTTTCAGTTATAAATTCCTTGCAGTGGTCATCGGCGCTCACGGAAGAGCAAGTGATGGATTTTGGACATCGCCTGCAGAATGGAACCTTGAGTCTACCCTCACCAAGGTGTTTATTTAAGCTAATACTTCGCTTAGACTTAATGACTGTTGATGTTTTTTTTCTATAACGGAACAGGTTTTAATTTTCCTTTACATCCAGTTAATATCTAGTTTGAGCTGCTTTATTAATAATGTAAAACAAGCTGATCATTCTTACAGCTTATTAATAACCCATAACAATAAAGCATGTTTATGCAGAAAAATCTCCCCTAAACCTCATTTTGTATTTCCGTCTAACAGGGGCATATCTATTTTCAGGCCATTGCCATTAACGAATGGGCCAACCGTTACCTTTGTTTTCCTTGGTGATGAAGCGTTTCCACTGAAAGAATATTTGATGAGACCATTTCCTGGCAATGGTCTTTCGCAAGAGAAGAAAATTTTTAATTATCGCTTATCACGCGCAAGACGAATGGTGGAAAGCACATTTGGAATATTAGCCAATCAGTGGAGAGCTTATCATCACCGACCAATACCTTTGACATGCTGCCTCCACAATTTTTTGAGGAGAGATGTTGATGGAGCTGCAACAGTTGACGAAGATGTGAGAGTGGTCACTCAACTGCTGCATGACATACCCGGAAGTGGTGGCCTTGCAACACAGAACGCTCGCTCGGTGTGCAACTACTTTTCGAGGAAAGGTGCTGTGCCCAGGCAAAGGCACCATTGCTGATCTTTGAACAAATGTTTAGACGATTAATGAAATAGAGAGGTGTCACAAGTCCTATACGCTAGTAGTACAATTAGTTCGAACAAATGTTCTCAAATATTTTTATATTTCCCCAAATTCAATATTATACAATAGCTCGTGGATTCTAACTTTCGCCAGTTGAAACCGTTGTACTGGTAGCCTGCATAGAATAGAGTATCTACCAGGCGTCTTGCAAACTTTTCAGCATCAATACTTTCTGTATGTAAATAAAGGCATGATTATTACATTGAAAATCTGTTGTGTGACACAAAAAGGTTTAAGGGCCTTAGAATTAAATACCTTTGTTGACAACACTCATTATAGTTTCATCAAGGTCCGGTTGTTTTGTAAATGGACCTTTACCAGATGCTGATGTCATCCAACTAGGTCTTCAGCTTCGTCATTTATTTGCATGTTATCTGCATCTTCAAGCACCACGAGGGTGACGTCTTCGTCAACATTTGAAGACGTTCTTTGAAACAAAGGGAGTTTCATTCCGTAGGCTAGAGATTAGCAATATTGTTGCATCTGTCACATAAACAAATAATACATACGTTCTAAAGTAAACATGTTCATCCAAGAACTTCAGCATCTCCATAAACTTCCACGCCCTGTATCCCCGCGCTGCTGCCCCACTCCTCGTAGCCTCTATTTCCTTTAGCTTCTCTTTTCTAAATCTATCCTTCGTTGACCTCGATTTCTACATGGCTACTCATATTCTTATCGCTTCTCAGTGCCTCAGCTACCTCTTCCCACGAATTTCCTTTTGCAACTGCATCTCTGTAAGATGCTGCTTTTACAGCATAAAGACACTCCCGTGCGCGAACCTCAAAATAAGCTGCTCTAAATCCATTTTTTCTCAATCTGTAATAATCATTGTAACGTTAAATTAGTAGCGTTTTGAAAAATAATAACTAGTACTAGTGTATTATACAACAACATTATACATTCGCCAAAAAGTCTCAAATTTCCTATCAAAAGTACAGTGTGTCTTACCAACCCACTGCAGGTACACAGTGCCTATATAGTTGCTGAACTAGCGTGATTACTACACCCGGAAAATATGATCTTTTGACACAAAATGCGTTGACGCATCGCAGTGTGAACAAGTTCAACGCACTGCGTTTGCGCCTGCGTAGAAAACTAACGCAACGCATTGCGTTGGTGTGAACGGGCCCTAATACCTTCAACTTATATATTATCATTCACGGTTGACAAAACAAGATCGTTGTAAACATATCGAAATTGAACAATAAGATTACAAGATCTTGTTGAACTAAACACTAGGGCTAGGATTCCTAGGAATAATGTTTTTCTAATTGTTACATGTAGGACATCAAGAACAGGAAGGCCAATTGGTAATTTGCGAAATTGAAAACATGGAGAAAAATCAAGGTATCAAGTGTGTTTTATTGTGTGGCAGATATTTATATACAAATGTAAACTTCGTAATGAAAAGCCTTAATTTTGTCATTTTTCATATATGATGAAAAAATACTATTAACTGTAAAAATATTATTGCAACCAAAAATGGCAAACTATCAATTCATAAGGAAAAGTGGAAAATTATCAAAAGATTATTTTTAGGTGCAATTATATTTATGCGTTATTGTGCCTATATAAATAAATGTGATGTTTTTAATATATTAAATAAAGAGTTTCTGTGGAAAAATAATATAAAAATTGTAAACTTGCGTGTGTACTTTTTCTATTTAGAAATGCAATAAATGCTGAAAATAATGCTTGATCGCCTTCGTCAATAAAACTAAACCTAAAACGAAAATGAGGATCCTAATATTATTCTCTGTTTGTAGCATGATATAATACAGTATTCTCCAAACGTGTTCGAAAAATTCCTCCCTTTTCCCATTTTGGAACTATTATTCCTTCCTCACCGTGCGTGAAAACTGTTTTCGTTTGTTATTCAATTTTTAATAAGTGATTATACAATCAATACGTGCTCATTCTCAACCCTTAGGCTACTGAGTAATTACTATTTTTAAACATGTCGGAGGCGTTTTTCTCAAATCTCACATTTTTGCATTAGTGGCGGGGATTCGTAGAAAATATCCCAAAAATTCATCAACACGACATCGGGACACGACATATGTTGAAACGCATTTTTCTTGAAGAAATGACTTATTAGTTTATGACATTGATACATAAAACTATACACAATTATATCTGTGCTAGTTTGGAAATAGGTATCCGACTAAATAGGACTTTTTTATGGTACTCTTTGAAAGTGTTTGCTTAATACATGCTGAAAATGGCTCGGAATAAAAACTACACACAAACAGAAACTTATTATAGGCATAGTAACTAATTGCCCATGAAAAACTTGCTGGAATAAGGTTAATATAATTAAACGCGCACAAGGGGAAACAGAGAAAAGGTAAGCAAAGACAAGTCATTGGTGTTAAATGGCTGAACTCACCTGCACAGTAACTCTGTATTGTTATTGTTACATAATAAAGATGTCTACCGTCGTGAGTTGAATATTCTATTTTCTGTAGTCCTAGGCTACTTGATTAAGCTTATGTATGGAAGTCTAAATAAATTATGGGGCGGTTTGTATCGAGTTAATACAATACTGTACCATATTAGTTATTAATAGTAAATTATTATATTCAATATTGTTGGTATAAAGTCATATTTTTAGGATGCCCATGCCACCGAAAGTGGCATTAGGATTAGAGCTATGTTTACTTCGCACACTGGGAACTGGTCTGGAACTTTGTCACCATACAGCTACACGTGTTCGTGATGCAGTTTATGGGTACAACTGTACGTTAGCGCAAATATAATTCAGTAGATAGGCAATGTAGATCGTATGATAATGCAGCTGGTTAGCAAATAACCGGTGAGAACTAACATACTTCAAGTGAAGTATTTGTAGAAAGAGGTGCCGTAAAAGAGCGAACAAAAGGTGGTTTTCAAACTCGTTGTTTATTAAGTGATTTCCACTGCAAAGGTGGTGAAGAAAGTTCGAGTTGTTCGATGCGTCTATTTCCTCGTAATAAAATTGCAAATCAATTTGTAATAGTAACGCGGTACATATTGATCTATTATGGGTTTCCTCTTCTAACTGCATCTTATGTTTGTTGAGACTATTCTCGATGGGGTCCATTTTGGAAAAAAACACGTGGCAATTTATGTCGCAATCTCGATGGAAAATTCGAGCTTTTTAATACTCGCTGATTTGTATTGTTAATTGGGCTCTCCCGAAGTACCGAAACCAAGATAGCGCACAACCTGAACCCTAACCTGATACAAATTCCAAGTTCAGATTGTGCGCCATCTTGGTGCACATACTTCTAGAGGTCCTTTAATTGTTATCATTAAGTTTTATTTTGTGTTCATTCGGATATTTAGCTGTCTCGAGCATACTTAGTATAATTTAAACTCAACAACTTGGATCTATGCGACTTTGATATCAATAAAACAAAAACAACATTTGGACATTTAAAAGTTTCGATTAGTCTTAGTTGGTAGAAAACTGTTATCTGTCGTAGCATTCTGGTGGCAACGATGGAGTCCAGGCGTTCAAGATAAAAGATACAACTTCGTATTTATTCTTATAGGCTATACAATAGTAATGTCTCTTGATAAGTGGTTAATTCAAATAAATTTAGGGTTCAGAGGGTCCTGAAAATAATTGCATGAATGAAACGCCACAAGAGAATATTTGAGTATGTTCGTTGTTTGATTACGTCAGTTTGAGTAAGTTTACCGGTGCTAGGGTAAAATGAAGTAATCTGCAAAATCACTGACTCACAACTGAATTGAAACAAGCAACTCGTCGCAAACTCAATTCGGTATTTTATTATCATGACTTGTTCTATATCTTATTATTTTATATTAAGCGACCATACAGAATATTAACATAGCGCATGAGGTGACCGTACATTTGAACCCATGTACATTTGAACCCACGCGTATATCCACGGGTTCAATCTATATGCGGGTGCTAAAACCCATGGGTTAGGGTTAGTATGGGTTTAACTATCCGTGAAACAAAAAAAATTCTATAGGTGCAATAGCATACAGGTGCTAGGTGCAATCGTCATGGGTTCAAATGTACGTGGGTTCAAATGTAATGGAACCAGCGCATGAAGATAACACTCTACTCTTTCTCGACAGTGAAAACATCTAATCTTGCGTTAGGAATAGCTTCTGTAATGCTAATTACTTGAAATGAGTAACCATACCATTCTGAAAGCATTACTTCCTGTCTCTGCTCTGTATCGGTCAAATATGCAAACCTCAGATTTCAGAGGGATAAATCAGACTGAGTGGTCCCATAAACTCTCCTTTATTCATTGCGGCTTCCTTTGTGGTATTTTTGCTTCTACTTATGTGCTGTAATAGCACATAAAAAATGCTCTTTAATATAACCAGCCACATTGAAGTTACCACATGCGCATACCCCGCTCTCTAAAATAGTGTGTCCCGAAAATTTCGCTGTAGGAAATTTCGCCGCATAGAAAAAATCGCCGCAAGAGCATATTGCTGTAAAACAAGTATTTGTGATAGCATGAAAAATCGCTTCAAGAGCATTTTGCTGTAAAACGAGTATATGTGATAAAAACAGTTAGGTGTGTAAGGTTAGGACAGGGGTCGGCAAACTGCGGGCCAAATGTGGCCCGCAAACTAATTTTTTGCGGCCCTCGAACGTCCCAACTTCAAGTGCCTATTACTATGATTGATTATAAATTTATCGTTGTCTTCACATGGATTTGCGCGGTAACAAATGTAGCTGTGCGGTGCTTTTTTGCAGCGTCAGTTGTATGTCGTTTACTTGATGTTGGTTGTAATTTTTAAATAATTCAATTTGATTTTTTAAAATATAAGAATATCCGGAAACGGAGGGAAGTTCGCGTTGAGGTCGAACATTCCGGAGTGCTTGGTCGGAAAGTATTATTTTTTTCTTGCGCATTTAAAACCGGTTTGCTTGATATATATATGCCAAGTCAGCCATGGCACAGAAAAAACAAAGTAAATAAAAACAATGTATTGTTTAATAATATATACATATATATATAGCGTTACTGTATGTTTCCCATATAATGTCCATATTTGTGATGAGCACGGTGCTGAATACAATCATTTGTCTTGAGTTTGCAAGCTATATCTATAAATAACCAGGCAATGTGAATTAAATTGGCGCTTATTTTATGTTAAGTGTTGATCGGTCTCTTCAATTCCATTCCTGATTTTATTTAAAATACATTTCTAAAGTCTGTCAATAATATTTTGCCAACGTTCAACATCTCTTTGTCTGAACGTGTTGGTCCATTCCAGATAGAG